TCCCCTAGTGAAGCCACTGGCAGGGGGTGCTGTCTGGAGCAGGTGACACCCCAGAGGAAGGGTGGCACCTGGTCTGGTGTTCCTGCTGCACCCCTCCCGGCTTCACCACAGCTGCAAAGGAGAGGCCCAAATGCCCCTCTCCTGACTTTGATGTGGCAAGGAGATCTTTGCTGCGGCAGCAAAGAAGAAGGGTCCAGCGCACCTTTTTGCCCACCCACCCCCAACACTAAGGTTGGGGGCACCGTTGGGTAAACCTCAGAATAATTCTTGCAAAGGAAACCCTCTTTCCAAGGTTGACTGAAAGGGACATAACAAAAACAGTAGATTCAGTGGGTATTGCATCTAGGGTATGTGGGTATAGCATTGCAGCCTTTAAAAAGAATTAGACAAATTTGTTTCAGAAAAAAATATGACCATTAATAAATTTAGAAAAATAAAAATATTTGACGTAAAATTATCATGTTTGGTACTCAGAATCAAAGAATCTTAAAGAGTTGGAATTGACCCCCAAGGGCCATCTTGTCCACTCCCTGTCATGCAGAAATACACAGTTTAAGGCACTAGTGAAAGACACTCACCCAACCTCTGCTTTAAGACTTCCAAAGAAGGAGGGTCTACAACCCTCTGAGGCAATCCATTCTGCTTTCAAATAGCTCTTCCAATGAAGTTCTTCTCTTTTCTTGTAATTTATGTGTATTGATTCTTGATCTTATCCAGTGGTCCCCAAACATTTTCAGGCTACTTCCCCTTTCCTCTTGGTGTCTCCCAACACCTATCCCAGGATGAGGATTTCAGGGGGCTCCCCCCTTGTTCCCTTTGCTCCTGTTTTGTTCAGCAGCCAGCAGGCCAGTGGCATCATCCTCAGTTGCACCCAGCTCACCAGGCCTGCTGCTCCTTCCTATCTGCAATGGCTGGCTCCTCTTTTGCTCCTCCCTTGTGACCACAGTGCAAAGGGAGCAGCGACCACTTGCCCCAAAGACAATTTCTTTGTCCAAAAGATGGAAGAGGCAACAAGAGGATTACCTATTTTACATCTGATCCTAACCAACAGGGATGACCTGGTAAATGGGCTGCAAGTGGTGGGATCCTTAGGTGGGAGTAATCATGTTCTCCTGGAGTTTCTTATATAGTGGAAAGGGGAAGCCAGGCATAGTCAAACACTCATTCTAAACTGATTTCAACAAACTTAGGGAAACAATGGGAGTGATCTCGTGGCCAAGAATACTAAAGGAGAAGGGAGTTCAGGATGGATGGGAGTTTCTCAAAAGGAAGATACTGAAGGCACAATTTCAAACAGTTCCAATGAGGAAGGAAAATGGGAGGTGTCTCAAGAAACCAGGTTGGATGACAAAAGAACTTTCAACTAAGTTTTAAATGGGAGATGTATAAGAAATGGAAAAGGGGTGAAATCACTAAAGAGGAATTCAAACAAATAGCAATTCACATGTAGAGGTAAAGTCAGGAAAGCAAAAGCACAGAATGAGCTCAGGCTTGCTAGAGGGGTTAAGGACAATAAAAAGGGCTTTTTGGGGTATGTCCATAGCAAAAGAAAGAAGAAGGAAATGGTAGGGGCACTGCACAGAGAAGATGGCGAAATTCTAACAGAGGACAGAGAAAAGACAGAACTATTTAATGCCTTCTTTGCCTCAGTCTTCTCACAAAAGGAAAAGGGTGCTCAACCTGAGGAAAATGGAGCAGAGGACACAACAGGGGAAATGCAGCACAGAATAAGTAAAGAGGAAGTATAGGAATATCTGGTTAACCTAAATGAATTTAGGTCTCCAGGACCAGACGAATTACATCCAAGGGTATTAAAAGAAC